CCGGACGGAGTCGGTGGCGCCGGAACCGGTGACTCCTCCTCCACCGGCGAAGTACGCGACTCAGATGGAGAAGTTCGACGATGCAGGATCCTCCGCAGGAAGCTACCGGACGGGCGAGATCTCGGACCTGAGAATGGTTGTGAGACACAAAGATTTGAAGGAAATTGTCGAAGCCCTCAAAGAAAACTTCGAGAAGGCGGCTGCAGCAGGAGATTCAGTCTCGGAGATGCTGGAGATTGGAAAAGCGCAGTTGGACAAGAGTTTCCGACAGCTGAAAAGTAAGTTCAAAGTTGTCTTGATCTTCCATCTCTTTAAACACTCAGAAAAATTTGTTCAGGATTGAACAAAATTGCTGCAGTCTGGATCCAATGCCAGTGGTTTAACGCCTTCTTCAACATCAATTTAGAGATTGTCATTGTGAATTCGAAACAGCTCCCGGATTTTCTTGCAATTTCTCGGGAAACAAACACTAAACCTAATTCATTTTTAACGGAATTCTTGATTCGAAAGTTGATCTTCCCTCCATTCTTCGAATTGAAATTCGATTGCTAACATTTTTGCAGAGACGGTGTACCATTCGAGCAGCGTGTTGAGCACCTTGAGCTCGACCTGGACCTCGAAGCCGCCATTGTCGGTCAAGTACCGGCTCGACACCGGTTCCCTCGACCAACCGGGCGGTTCAAAGAGCCTCTGTTCCACACTGGACCGGCTTCTCGCTTGGGAGAAGAAGCTCTACGAGGAGGTCAAGGTAAGAAATATTAGATTTCGTCATTTTCCTTTTCCAATTATTTAATTAGAAAAAAAAATTATATATATATATTTTATTTTTGCAAAAAGGCGCTTTGAGAAATATGACTCAGCATGGTCTCTGCGATATGGTAGCGTGAGTCCACAGTAGGGTTTGCACAATGACGTAGATGCCCCTGGGTCTTTGCTCTTATCACGATAATGTCCACAGCATTTGACCGTGGGACGTGGGTATTTTCGTAATTTGGGATGTCGTGTTGTCTGAGTGACAAATATCTTTCGGTGCAATTATTTTAATGACTATAATACCCTTGAATATTGTATTATTGACAGATGGATCCGCCAAATTCACCGTTTTTCTAGCTTGTCCTTGTGGGCGGCTGGCGCTTTAAATGCACTTTTTTTTCCTTTCCCTTTCATATTTTATGGAACTTTTACTCTTTAATCTGTGTGTCTTACACTGCCTTTCATTCTCAACCACCAATTTGTTTGTGATGTAATATTCTTAGAAAAAGTTGCATTTTGTTAGACACCAAACTTTCTTTTATTTTTATTTTGTTTCATTGTATGCTGCTAATTTAAGCATTGATCAGATTTTAGAGTGTTTCTTTTAGATAGTCAGTACCTATAAGGGGATGTGTTAGTGTTTCACTGTTTAGTTTGCTGTAGGACTGTAGAGTATGTTTCTATATCTTTGAAACAAACATAACGATTGAATGAATATAGAAAAAGTGTGGTTTATTGGTTTTTGTGACTCTAACATATGCCCACGAGACCATTCATTATCTTTTATTTTTTGTTGGGATATCCATGAGTAGCACCTCGACTAATTTCACGGGATATCTGCTTGATTCTACTACATTGGTTGTCAGGTAACTCGTAGGATATTAAATCCTAGGTAGTTGGCCACCATGGTTTGAACCTATTCTCTTTATTCTTTTTGCTATTTACACCGGCCTTTATTGACCACTAGGCAACCCATGATGGTTCACAAGACCATTCATTATCTCTCTCTCTTTTTTAATGTGTGATAAGAAAGGGATAGATATTATGTTAACCATTCAAAGCCAACCTTGCATATTTACAGGCCTGTAATACTTGGTTGTTTTTGCGTCTTTAATTATGTGGAAACTGTATGTTTGGTGTGTTTTTGTGGTTATTGGTTAATGTGTTCTATAAAATCCTAATGAATTTCAGGCCAGAGAAGGTGTGAAGATTGAACATGAAAAGAAGTTGTCATCATTGCAGAGTCAGGAGTACAAGGGTGAGGATGAAAGTAAACTAGATAAGACAAAGGCTGCTATAACGAGACTGCAGTCGCTAATTATTGTCACATCTCAAGCTGTCACTACAACATCTACTGCCATAATTGGTCTAAGAGATTCAGATCTTATTCCTCAGCTTGTTGAACTTTGCCATGGGTAATTCCTCTCTTCAGACTTATTTTTTGTGACTAATTATTTTGATGCAAAATTATGAAGTGAAAACTGTGTGACGATAAGATTGACAAGAGAATGCGACTCACACATCCCTCCATAATTTCTAATTTGATGCCAGCAGTTACATTCCCGGATGAATGTTAAACTTTGCCTTTCTAACTTAAAATGTCTTGTGTGATTAAGTAAGACAGGCCACAAGCTGACGTGATTTGTCTTATAATTTTGAAGCTTCAAGGTTTTTATAGCTAAGAAACTAGGTCTAAATCCTAATGGCTCGAATTGCATCATTTTAGAAGAGACCCATTCCCTGCAGGAGTTTCACTTGCTTTTTAAACTGCACTATTATCGGATATGCCTTGTAATTGCTATTTAATGTTTGTTAATATCAGTGGCCCCCATCTCCATACTGGCTTACCGGTGATATTTCCTTAGAGCTTTTAACTTTAGGGTCATGGTGATTTGTTTCGACCTGTGTAATGGGATTAAGTGTCCCCAATGTTTTCTATTTTGTGATGAACCGCTGGTTGCTTGTTTTGATAACACAGTGTTTGGTGTCTGTTCATGGTCATTGCTTTATCATCACCGCATTTATGATGCCATTCTATTTCTGTCCAACAATGTCTGAATGCAATGCTTCTATGGTGACTGGATTTTGTAAGCCGACTCTTTTGCAAATGAGAGAAAAATAGTCAAAAAATTCATGCATAAGAACTAACTGCTTTAAGTATCCTGGTAATGTCTAGAGAGTCTCGCTTTTGAATTATGAGTTGGTCGCTATGGACCTTAATATGACCTTATCTCACTGATAGATGAACTCATCTTAGGAGTGTGTACATGAGATATTAATTCTTATCTTTGTCCATTCTCGATCTCTCCCATTGACATAGTGAAAATTTAAGTACCGAATCCCTTGGGGCTTTCCTAATTACAAAAGAGTTAACGTCACAGGTAGATGTTAAATCTAGCCTTTTCGTTTTCCAATTCCTTTCCTTGTCAGTAAAGATTCTGTAATTACTGACACCCTGGTTTCACAGAAGTGATTTTACTAGATTTTCTCAAGGGTTCTTATAGCGGTTTTTTGATTCACATAGCCCATGTCATTTGCTGCAAGTTACTCTTTACTGGCTAATGGAAGATCCAACTGTAGAAGACTTATCAATCTCTTCCCTTACAATACAAGCCTTCCTTTTCTGTTAACTTTCTGACGACTGATCTGGTTGGGAAAACTGGCTCTGTATTTTACATTCTACCTTTTATCTATTTTTTCCCCTCCTTTTTGGGGTTTGTATCTTCGAAAATTGTATGATTTTTCATTAATGAATGAAAATCTCGTTCCTTGTTCAAGATCTGGTTAGGAAAACTTTAAGACCTTAAGTTCCAGTGGTCCAAAGCTTCATATCTTTCTGTCCTCCCGGCTTCCTGTTACTGGGCCTTTTTGTTCTTTTGGCCTACTTCCAGCCAGCCTTTAAAGCTTAGTTCTGTGGCTGTGCTTGAAATGAGAACCCCAGAGACCGCGATGTATGGAAACCTAAATCTATAGCAGATAGTTCAGATTGTGCCAAAGGATTACACTTGAGGCACATTTAGGAAACTCTAGCAAGTTGGCAACATCAAAATATGCCTAGGGTGGGGGCATTATATTATTAGTTCTTTCTTTTTTCTCTTAAGATGGTACCCTGAACGTGGACTCCTCCTCCTATCTCAAGGAATGCCATTGGGATGGTGATATTTATATTCATTAGCCTAGAATTAAACACTTGGATCTTTTCATATCATTGATAAATTTATTGCGTGAAATTGTTTCCAAGTGACGATTTCCCTTTAGAACTCAAGAACACAGTAGTACAACCTATAGGAACAGATCCTATTCAAGTAAGGTCATCGTCCAAGTGACGATTTCATTCTACAGCTTGTAGTACGATGAAGACCCTGGGGTGAGTGGTTGGTGGTTTCCTTTTCTTCTCAGATAAGAGAGAACAAAGAGCTGTAAGAATCTGAGTATCACCTTTGCCGCCACCTCAAATTACCGCCACCTCAAATTATGAACCCTGATTTTGGCTATAGATAACAAACTCTCTGATGATAAGTAAACCTTAAGAACCTGTAAAGATGTGTTTAGGAGGTATCAAGGATTGGAGAACTCTGGTCTTCATTATTTTGTTGCATAAATGATAAAAGCTTCATTGTATTCTTTTAATGAAAAACACATGAATAGTTTTCTCTTGATATAGGAAGACTACTGTCAGATTGTTCACTTCTTTATTATTAATTATGTTTTCTCACTTCAAAGGCCTGTATTTGGACTTAATTTTCTTCATCATGTGATACAGGTTTATGTACATGTGGAGATCAATGCACCAATTCCATGACATTCAGAACAACATTGTGCAGCAGGTTCGAGGCCTTGTTAACCAAACATCTCATGGTGACTCAACTTCTGAATTGCACCGCCAGGCAACTCGTGATCTTGAATCCACCGTCTCGGCTTGGCACTCCAGTTTCTGTCGCTTGATTAAGTTCCACCGTGACTTTATCCGGTCCCTCCATGGTTGGCTCAAACTCTCCTTTCTTCCAGTCAACAATGACAACTTGCCTGACAACAAGGAACCTTCTGAGATATTTTGTGATCAGTGGAAGCTTGCTCTGGATCGTGTCCCTGACACGGTTGCTTCGGAGGCAATCAAAAGCTTCATCAATGTTGTCCATGTGATATCTGCAAAACAAACTGAAGAACTGAAGGTCAAAAAACGCACTGAATCAGCATCCAAGGAGTTCGAGAAAAAAGCTGCATCCATCATGAACTTAGAGAAGAAGTTTTACAACTCTTACTCCATGGTTGGCATTGGACTTCCTGACACTGGGCCCGACAACGGGCATATTTTAGATGCTCGGGACCCTCTAGCTGAGAAGAAAATCGAGCTCATCACCTTCCAAAGACGAGTCGAAGAAGAGAAGATAAAGCATTCCAAAGCAGTAGAAGTGACAAGAGCAATGACACTAAACAACCTCCAAACTGGGTTGCCTGGGGTATTCCAGGCCTTGACCAGCTTCTCGGCCTTGTTCATGGAGGCGCTCGAGTCGGTTTGTACTCACTCTTATTCTATCAAATAGACACACTATTTTCCCATTCT